TCGCCGCTGGGTGCTCGGGCCCCGCCTTACTGCTGGCTCTCGCGGCCGTCATCGTCGGGGTCCGGGGGGCGGGCGCATGCCACAGTAGGGTTCTTTATAGTGCCAAAAAAAGAGTTCTTCTATTGTTACAAGCTTGACATCATAATAATAGAAGAACACTTTTCTGTGCTATAAAGAACCATTATCAAAAAGGTTGTATATACAACCATATACAGCACATTCTCCATTAATCCGAAGAACCATTTCACCATGCAAAGAATGCTTTGTGTGCACAAATGGTTCTTTGAATGTTCATGGTTCCATATAGAACTACTATCTTTACTAAAGAACCATTGGAGAACCATCTGTTTTAAGTGTGTAGTTTGGCTAATCAGTCCTTCATCAAATTAAATTTAGTGTGCAGGTGTTCGAGTCCACACAATAACAGGAGTAAACCAAGAAGTCAGGAACTAGACTTGTGTTCTTCTAAGTGTTATTATATACGGTTATATATATGGTTACTATAACCAAGATATAATAACCTTGTAAAAAAAAAACGTCTTATGTTTGCTGCGTATATGTTCATTTGTCTTTATTTAAATATTACATGGCGGTTTTACAGGCAGACAAAAAGTACTATCCAGATAAACAATTTTAAACTGTAAACACACTGTGATTGGCTATCCGTGCACTATTTTTTTCAATCTGAAGGGCAACAAACTTTTGTTTATCAAGTGAAATGCTATCCAGTTACCTGTAGCTTTCTCTGTATCCTTGTGGTGTGAGCCTAGTGTCAGTAGCAAGTAACTGACTGATCTGTACACCAAATCTTTCAGAGCAAGATATGTGGGTTGTACTGAAAAAAAAATTCATGGTAATGTTTTTGGTAGCAGTGTTTTGACAGTGACCTGCATCCACGTCGCACAAAAACTAAGGTTATGGTTGATCATTTTGATTGTCAGTCAAATTTCCTTGACCTGTTAAACCCCCCTACCAACCAAAGTTTTATTACACCCTTCTATAACCTATGGTAAGCTCCCTTCGTTTGCATTGAAGTCCCTGTAGTCAATGAATAATAAGCCTTAGTGTATAATAAGCCTGGAATGTTAGGGGGTTAAAGTAGGTGGTTCTTGTTAAGTAACAAAACCCACCAGACTCTCTTATGAAGTCTGGCTTGTGAGATTAGTGTCCTTTAAATGTCCTCAGTGCTGCTAATACTGTTCATTAGGGCTGGTCATGGACTGGCACTGATGAAACAAAGACATTTTTTCCCTCCATCTGATTATTTAATGGCACTATGCTCAGGTGCTGCGAGTGTCATTCTACCGTTCAAGAAGACTGCAGAAAGGATGAGGTGTGTGTGTGTTGGAGTGCATGATGTCATCAGTCCTGGGGCAAAGAAAAGCTTCTGGTGGAGAGAGTGGTGCTCTGGGAGTTGGGCTGACCTGCATGGAGCTCTCCATGGCCAGTGGGCCTGTAATCGTTTCAGACTTGGGCCAACAGGGGAAGGAACTGCAAATGACAGCCTGCCCTCCAGCTGGCTCAAGGCTAGGCTCAAATAAATGACAGATGCAACAGACAGAGCGAGAGAGGGGAAGAGAGAACTAGAGGACAGAGAGAGATTCAGATCCAATTTGGCTCGGGAGTCAGTGTCATGGAGGAGTGTTCCAAAGCAAAAATCTTCTCTCTCTCTTCTCTTTCTTTCCCTTTTATCTTTCTCTATCCTTCTTTCTTTCTCTTCATATTTCTATCTCTTATCTATCTATCTGTCTATCTACGCTGTATGTCCAAAAGATGCAAACTTATCCAGTGTTCCCTCTGAAATCGAGGCTATTAATAGTGTCTCCTCTTTGCTGAAGTAAGAGCCTCTACTCCTCTATGAAGGTTCTACACTAGATGTTGAAACGTGGCTGTGATGATTCAAATGCATTTAGCCACAGAAGCATTAGTGAGGTCAGATACTGATGTTGAATGATTACAAGTGGACCATAAATGTCACTCCAGTGCATCCCAGAGGTATTGGGTGGAGCTCCATCAATCAAAAGAATGCAGTTCCACTGCTCCCCAGCCTAATGTTGGGGGGCTTTATACCCCTCTAGCTGACACTTGATACTGGCCATAGTGACCTTAGGCTCATTTGCAGCAGCTTCAAAGTGTCCCATTCTATTAGCAGTGCTTTTCTATGGACATTATACAAGCTGTGTGTACACAATTGAAAACATGTATCAGCAATGAGTGCACCTCAAAGTAGCCAAATTCACTAATTAGAAAAGGTGTCTAGATACTTATGGACATATAGCGTGTCTGTCTACCTGTCTCCTCCTCTTTTTATATGGTTCTCTCTTTCCCTTTCTGTGTCTTTATTCTCTCTTTCTCTCTCACTCTCCCTCTTCTGTACCCTTGTTGTGAACCCATTTCAGCCTTCCTCGCTGGCCTACTCTGCTTTCTCCACCCACCTCTCTCGCTCTCAATGCGCTCCTCATAAACCCTGTACCTGCTGTAGTGAATTAGGCTTACCCTGCATGAGTGCGTCTACACTTATCAGCACAGATACTCCCCATGTGCTAGTTGAAATAACCTCCTCACGCTGACCTGAAATCAGATTTTATGGTCTGTCTTGTAGGAGGTGAGGTTAATACTTGGGCAGGTGGAGCTGACCTTGGATCAGGGGAAAAGGGCAGGCACTATTTTTCCCTGCCCCAGAGCTCCCCTCTCTCTGGAATGAGGCCTCGGTGGAGGGATTGATTTGTGCCTGAAGCCTCCATCTGGTGCTGGAGTGATGGAGGGCCAATGCTGGAGGTCAGAAGCTGTCTCTGCTTCTGGCCAGTTGTGATAGGGGGTCGTGCTGCAGCCCTGATTGCTGGGCTGCATTGGGAGTTGGCTTGACCTATGTGAAGCTAAGCAAGGCCAATGGGCCTGCATTCGTTTCAGACTCGGGCCAACAGGGAGAGTGCAAATGACAACCTGCTCTCCAGCTGGCTCAAGGCTAGACTCAAATGCATGACAGATGAGGGAGAGAAAACTATGGCTAGAGACAAGTTATGAGGCAGTATGACTTCAGGAGAGTGTGGCATTTTAGAACTGGTTTTGAAGAATGATAGCAAACAAGTCCTGCAGCAGGAAGAGGAAATGGATCAGTAGAACCAGAATCATGTTTATTCACCATATACACTAATATGCATTAACCAAATCTTGGTCTTTGGTCAGGCTATTCTGTTTGCATCTATGAAAGATGAAAGATTGCACCTTTAATAGACATGGAATTAAAAGAGACAAACAGAACACAGAAGATGTTATTTTGGAGAATTTTGTTTGATTGTCTTCATGGGGACCTCATAACACATGCATAAGTACTGAATAACATTTATAAAGTGGTACTTGAGTTATAATAGACGTGCTTTAGTATTCACAAGGTGCTGTGAGTTGTTTCTTCTAAAAAGTTTTGACATGTTCTTCTTTTTCTTTATTTATTTTTGGATTTGGTTTTCCATTCAGTTCCCTTTAGCATTGCCTTAGTTTCTCCAACCAGCGTGATCAGTTAACACGGTTTAATGCAGTTATAAATAGTAAATTGGCTCTTTAGTTCTAGGGCGTTAAAATTGCTCATAGATCATAAATGTATAGTTTCTTTATCCTGTATAGTGTCTGATATGAAACCTTGAATGTGGTCTTGTGAATAATGACATAAGATGTTTATGAATATTCATTCACTTATTTTTAAGTACAGTATGTTGTCCAATGCTTATGCATGTATAATGAAATCCTTATGTAGATATATTTTAAATCCTTATGCATGCATGTAGGTAAGGATAAGGAAAAAATAGAAGTTGTATGGCAGCTAGATTGTGCAGTTATTGTCCAAAATAAGTATGATATATGGCGAAATTGCAAAATGCAAGAACAGAAATGACAGTACATTCCAAAGAAATGCTGCTGGCAAGTTGACATGTATAGTTTGCCTGAAATCCGCCTAGCCAGTTTGATTAAAAGCGAGTTCTGTAAGCACTTCAGTTGCCCTGAAGCCTGAACAGATGGTGCTGGGTGGTAGCACTCTCAGCCAAGACCTCTATTCTCAGGCGGGCTGTGAGGAATCTCACAATGTCCGTTAGAGAAAGAGACCAGTGGTCTTAGAGGAGTTTCAGAAGAAGGACAAGTTTGAGACCTCAGGCTCTTTGGCCTAATCTCAGCCTTGCCTGCTGCAAGCTTTTCTCTCATATCATCTGTTCTTTATTGCCTTCTTCTCTCATATTCTTGGCATACTTTAATCTTCTCAGGGCTCTTCCACCTGTGCCTGCGCTCCACATTTCCATATTGCCATTTTAGTCCGAGGCCCAAAATTAGATCATCCTGCCTCATTTGGAATGTTTGTGTGCCTAAACTGTACCTTTTAATTACACTCTAATTTTTAGGTTAGTATTTGACTTCTCCATTTTTTGTGTGATATAATATTATCATTTTATATTATATTTCTGTTTTATATTCTTACTGCTCTTTTTGTTGAATGTTGACATGCACTGTAATTAATTGGCCCTGCATAGATAAATAGTTTCATCAATTCAGTTTATATGTTTGCAATATATTTTTATCTAGCGTGCTTTCTAAAGTGCTTTAAATTATGTTTATTTTTAATATTTATACATGCACAGTCATATGCAAAAGTTTCAAATGATGTTTCACATTTTAATGCACTGTTACTGTTTATTTGCTGATTTTAACATATATAACATAAATGGATAAAAAATAAACACATAAATGGAACATAAAACCTGACCAGCATAAAATTGTGTCACATTTTATATATCATGTTTTATTTTTTCCCAATATCAGGAAATAAATAGATATGCCATATTTAAGTTTCTTCCTCTGTATAGGGTATGTTAACTTACTTTGACTTAGAAAATAAGTAAAATATTTATTTTATACCTCAATGCCCCTTTCACTGTTCCATTTTATTTATCACTGTTTCTTTCCTCTTTTCTGCCCCATGGTGTTGATGTGTCTACCCCTCTCTCCTGTTCCAGATGAGTCCAGATGAGCTGGAGCGCTATGTGAACCAGCAGTTTGACGAGCTGCACAGGCTGGTTCGGCTGGAGGAGTGGCGTGTGCTGCACCTGGTGGACCTGAAGGAAGCCTTCCTGACGGCACAGGCGGCTGAGAAGATTGCAGAGATCAGCGTCCACACTGAGCGTCTGCAGGAGGAAATGGACTCCATCACCCAGCAGCTGGGCGAGCTGGACCAGGCTGAGCGCAACGGGGTTGCCCCAGCCGCATTGGCTCCTCTACTGGCAGCTCAGCCCCAGCCACCGCGTGCACCCCCCGAGCCCAGACCACAGGTGAGCAGCAGTAGTCTTACAAGCTCTGTTGCTCAATTTTCAGTGTTACGCCCAAATATTGTTGATCAGCCAAGACATATTTGGCATCTGAAGTTTGCACCTTTAATATTACAGTGGAGCTACGAGGCTAATGCAGCTGACAAGTAATAAAAGCTTTTAAACCAATTAAGGTATTACAAACTACATGTTTTCATCAACACACACTTGCTTCAAACCACATCAGACTGTTAATTGATCTCAAATAGACCTGGAAAGGAAAAAGAGAAGCTGTTTGTCGATATCTAAAATAGACAAAAGTACACAGAATGGCTGTTACTGTTTTAGTACTTATGTCCAGTTTTTATAGATAACAGTACGTCATACAGAGTCTGAAACCAATAAGCGAGTCTATTTGAGATTGTTTAACAACACTTCACAGTTTGAGGCCAGTGTCTTATAATTTAGGCATACATGGTTGGGTGATTATTGCTTGGGTATAAGTGTTATTACTTCAGCCTTATAACTTCAGACACCAAACAAGTCTTGCATTTGAGATAAGAGGAAAATTGTGTACGTTTGAATTTATCTCTTCAAGGCTAAGTAGATGAGGTTAGGTTAGTTAAGTCTATGGCTGAATTAACTGTACAGGCTGTATTGACTACAGCCTAGAGCCACAAAATGTCTTAATTGTCCCGGCTTACAAAAGTCCATAATTTAATGCTGCTTCTCCAGCACCAAGGTCATTGCATTGATTGGTGAGATGCAAAGGTTTCTGGCAAATATTTTTTGTTCTCTTGCCTGTCTGTCACTGTTGAAAGAGAAACTAAATGGAATCTGTTCTGAGCCATTGCACTTTAAATAGAAAACGATTCCAAAATGTTTTCACTGAGCTCAGCTAATGTTCGGAGCCAGCCCACCAGGGTGTGTGCTTTAAAATGCCTGGATAGGGCTGGAGGGCTGGAGATGGTTTGAAGGTCTGTTGATGAATGAGGATATTAATGGCGATTGCAGGTTCTGTTCAGGGCTACGGAGAGAGAGAGAGGCAGGGTGGAGGAACATTTCAGCAAATCTAGGGAGGCTTATGAAGGGCACTGATGTAGGCATCTAGGACACACACACACACACACACACACACGCGTGTGGTTATGAAGGATGGTGCTGAAGGCAGGAGGATTTACCACACACACACACATACACACACACACACACGTACAGTATATATGAAGGGCAGTGCTGCAGGCATGTTATTGGTCTCCTGGATATTTGCCAGTGCCTCCTCGCTCATAAACTTACAGCTGTAAATGCTGCCCATATTCAAGGTTATACACACAGTGCCCCCCCTTTCTCTCTCTTTCTTTTTCTCTCTCTTTCTCTCTCTCTCTTTCTCTCTCACTCTCTCTCTCTCTCTCTGTTCTTTCTGCCTTTCTTTCCTTATGCCTCTCTCTCCCCCCGCTCCTCTCTATTGTTTTCCTTTTTTCTTTCTCCTCATTTGTTTACTTTGTACCCCTACTTCTTTCTCTTTTGTCTCTCTCTTTCCTCTCTCTCTTTCCTGCCTTCCTCTTTCTGTTTCCCTTCTTCTCTTTCTTTTCTCTTTCTTTCCCTGTGCCTTTCTCCCTTCTCTTTCTCTCTTTTCCTTCCCCTTTTCCATCTGCGTGTTCTTTTTATCGTTCTTTACTTATGCCTCTCTCTCCTCTCTTTTCTATTTCTCTTTTTTGTCTCGTTCTTTCTCTTTCCACCTATTCTTTCTCTTTTTCTATTTCTTACCTCTCCCTCTCTCTCTGTCATTCTCTCCCCGTACACAGATACAGTGTTATTGTCACTCATTTACACACAGAGACACGCTCCCTTAGAAAGCTTTTATTGCTTACAGAGCAGAATTAAAAGATCCCCTTGGCCCATTTGTCATGACACAGAGAAAGGAAATTTGCTGGGAGGTAGCAGTGAGAGCTGAAGTAAGACTGTGTGTGTAGGTGCTTTTGGGCTCTGAAGAATGGCTCTCCGTGAAGCTGGGTTAATTACGACTGTAATGAAAAGCTGATTGGCTCTCGATTTAGTCTCTGTGAGGAACACACCTCATGACTTCGCATTTCACACTGAGAGAGACGTACTCACACATTCTTACACACCCTTACACACATGTGTTCATGTCAGCGAATGTCATCTCAAGATGAATTAGAGCTCAATGACCACCCTTTTGAGATCAAAATCAAATGTGAGGCCACACAGGTGTCTCTCTATGCTTATTCTGAAGATTAGAAATTAGAAATGGCTCCAATCCAATACCAGGTATCAGCAGAAAATGCTGTATCTTTTATCGGAGAGAAAAAAAAGAATGAATCTGATCAAATCCTGTAAAAAATCTGCCCTGCAATAGTACACAGTTACATCATCTTAAGTGAAGTGCATGACAAATAGCTCAAGTTTCAATATCAGACTCAGAATTGAAAAAGCGGTGTCGTGCAATCTCTAATAGAAATGAAGTTATTAAAAGGAGAGTAAGACTTTTGCCACCTAGAGATCAAGAAATGAATGACAGCATGAGCCATCAGTGCCTGCTGTGGCTGGGTTATTAGGACCTAATGTTCTCAGGTAGTTCAGAAGATACATATAATGAAAAATGAGAGACACTCTGATATGATGAAAAAATGAACATTCTTTAAACTTTATGGCAAAGGGCTGTAAATTTGCCTCTTTAAAATAAAGTACATATTGATATTTTGTGCACAGTGCTAAATCATGTTATACCGTAAATGATGAAAATCTCACATAGCCCCTCCACCATTAGGCCTAATGTTTTTTCAGTGTTTTAAAGTAATTCAGCTTCAGTTCCAAATCTAATATGCTCTGAGGTATGGCAGAATTCACGACACAAATAGAAAACATGAAAAATGTAATGGCGTAATGGGCTAATATGTTTTTAGCTTGATAAATGTATTGAAAGGGCAGGATAATGGCGATGCTGCCGAGTCAGCCACACACACTTGCCTTTAGTTTGCAGTCTAATCTGCACATCTGTCAGTAAATCAATAGAGCGGCGGTAGGGAAGCAGAGCTAGCGTCTACCGCTGTGTTTACTGTCAAATCAGGGCCAATGGTAACCTCCATGCCAAGATCCTTCCAAAAAAATCTACCTTTTCTGAATAGAAATACACTCACAATTAGTCCTGCACATACACACATTGTGTGCATTGATGGATGCTCTCTATTAATGCTTCCAGATAGAGCAAACATTTAAAGGAGTAGCCACATTTGCACAATCCCCAAATGTTTACTACTGAAGGCATGTTTGGTATTCAAAGTTTATTTAGTGCTGGAGCTATTAGGCTATTGTAGCTAACAAGTTATGGAACCTTATACCCCATTGTCATGCAAACTGCATGCCTGAGTCATCACATACTTGCTTCGACTAATTTAATAGTCAATTAGTTGGTGACATCACACGCGTTTCTCACTCTAACTAGGAAGGTTTTGACGTTTCTGCTTACTGGAGAGTTAACAGAAGTGCGATGGCAACCTTAAGAACAAAATCCTCAAAAGTGTGGGAGCATTTCAGACTTAACTCAGGAAAAAAAGGTTGTCAGTTGTGCTATTTGTGAAGCCGACCTTAGCTGGGAGCACATCCTCCATGTTGGAGCATCTGAAGAGGAAACACGTCGGCTCACTGGATGAAGAAGATTCATCTCAATAAGATAGTTGTGCTAGCAAGTTAGCTAATGTTAATGTTAAAAGCCATCCTACTTCATATTATGAGCTGAGCTGTAACCATTCCAAAATGCATGTTCTCTGGTGTCGATAATGGAGTTGGAACAGAGAAGCAGGTAACTATTATTCAAAATGATCTTGTTCACTTTCCAAATAACGTTGACAGTTTTGCCACCAGTGCGTTCAAATTTGGCGAGCATAGGAGAACATTTACAAACAGTTACAAACAGTTTTCTATTTACCGGAAGTTCTCAGCTAACATTTGCCACCACTCGCGAACTGTTTCAGGAGGTTAGTTAGTTCTCTGCAAACATACTGGAGCTGGATGAAGGGTTAGCGTTGAAATGGAATGCTTATACAAAATCTTTCAAATTTAGGGCGGCCAACATCGCTGCTGTACTGCATTCAGTACCATTACAGAGCGGATACTTTCCAAAATTATACTATTTAAATAATATTGTGCTCAGAAAGCAGAATAGGAATCTATAACGGTGGGAATGTAGCGATCCACACACTTTTGTATGATGTTTATGTATAGAGGCTGTGTGGTTGGTGAAGCACAGAGAAGCTGCTGGAGTGATTAAGGGAAAACTGACTTAGTTTTGATACATTTGATTCTGAAAAACACATCCTTGATTTTACATTTTGACCAAAAAAAAGATGTTTTATTTATCTTTTGTATTAGCAGAAAGTTAATTGAAACAGTGAATTTTTAAATAAGGTATTCATCTTTATGTCCTCACTGTTAGTTTGCAAATGCATAAAACAACCTCAAGCTAAATTTAAAAGCTGATAGCCACATACGAGTTATTTGGTAATTGAGCACTTCATAATTTGAATAATCGATTATTCATTTCAATAATCAAGAGATTATTAAACTATCAAAATAGTTGTTTGTTGCAGCTGTACTGTTCACAATACATTTGTGGTCACTGTATCTACCATCTGAGTAGTATTGTGAAATGTGAAGTCTCTGCTGTTTTGACTTATTCCCTTTTATAGAAAGCATGTGATTCTATTGGGTTATGCTGCTCGATGCTGTGTCATATTGAACATGCGTCCCGCCTTTCTCAGATAAACAAAGACACTCACCTAGCCTTCATACTTTTACCATTGCAGCTGCCATCTCACATACAGACGTCTCTCACAAACAGGACAGTGTAAAACGCATTGTGAACATTATATTTCTGTCTTAGTGACTGACTCAGCAGACTCTGTTTATGTTAACGGGCTCTCTGAGAGCTAACTGAACCATATTCAGTCTTCACTAGCATAAGTTGGGTATAGCTAAGTTAACAGGCTCCTGCAATATCCAGAGCAGACTTTGGCTTTAAATCTTTACTGAAGGAGCCAAGATCAAAACTACACCATCCAAAGTATGGAATACACTACTTCACTGTCTGTTATAAAGTTCTGTTGTCTGTGTTTAAGCTAGAGAGCTCCCACAAAATGTGAATATGTGCCACATTAGATTGGTGCTAACCTAACACTGAAATTCTCATTAGGATGATAACAAATTAGCTTTTCTTTTGCAGAGGCAATTTAAACATTGCTGTGTAATGGCATGTTTGGCTGGCACAAGCTGATAATTTAGTGCCTGTATGTGACTCAAACAAGCTTAAAAAGCACAGCAAACAAGCTTAAAAAGTCAGACATGTAAAGTCTCTCTATACTGTGCTGCACCAGGGTTGCCAGCTCTCACAGTGTGTGACACTCGTGATTTTGGGTCTTTTCTCAAGATCTCATGCTGTGCAACGTAATCCCAAGCCAACCGACCTACACACTCAGAAGAAACTTGCATTTATTGTGTCTATTTTTATAGACAACGGTAGTTCATTGGTGTCTCTTTTTACCTTAAAGTCAAGTCAAGTTAAAGTTTATTTATATAGCGCTTTTTACAACAGGTGTTGTCACAAAGCAGCTTTACAGAAAAATCGGGGTCCGAGCCCCAATGAGCAAGCCAATGGTGACGGTGGCAAGGATAAACTCCCTAAGAGTGAGAGGAAGAAACCTTGGGAGGAACCAAGACTCAAAAGGGGAACCCATCCTTTGGTCGACACCAGATAGCAAACAACGTTGGAATAAAATATTAAAATATAGAAACGAGGAAAAACAGGTGAAGCAGTGGTTATAATTAAGTAGTTTGAGTCTGTGCAGCCGGTCTATTTCAAGGAATGTTTGAGATTACTTGACAGTTCAGTGTAATTTGAGGCTATGATTTAGACACACAGTTAGTGTAATGCTAATTGGTGTACATCAGCCAAAACTGATTTTTTTGCCTGTTTTCTTTCAATAGTCTCCCACTGTGTTACCTCACCACTAATACAGCCATTCACAAATCCTCATATAGAGCTACAGCCATTCTCACTATCATTGTCTAATCATCACAGTCAGAGTGTCTGATCTGCACTGAGTTCCGGTCACTCATTGGCCAGCTGTTAGATGGCTGCTCTCCTCATGTCACAGTGAGTGGAGGTCAAAGGTCAAAGAGGCTGGCGAGGGACGAGCTGAGAAAGACAGGGCAGCAGATAATGAGATGCTCCATGTTTCTCTCTCACTCAGCACGCAGTGAAGTCCCTTGTGTCCGTCACAAAACCGCTGTCACCTCACTCTGCCTTTCTCTCTCACCCACTCTCCAATTATACTGCTGTTTCAAACCATATCAGCTTTTTTAGCCCAGAGTGCTCTCCTCTCCTCTCCTCTCCTCTCCTCTGCTCTCCTCTCTCCTCTGCTCTCCCTCATTCAGCTTTGTAATGAAAACGGCCGGCCAAACGGAAACACAAGCGCTGCTGCAGATACAGACGCTCCACTCTTATCTGCTGTTCATTACGCTGCCCTCTCCTCTAATTAAAGCTGGAGAAGTTTCTCTTTCGCTCCATCTTTCTGCCTCTTTCTCTCTCTTCTCTCTCTCTCTCTGTCCTCTTCACTATCTTTTTCTCTCATCCTCTTTTTTTACACACGCACTCTCTCTCTCTCTCTCTCTCCCCCTCACAATCTTTATCTCTCATGCTGTTCTTCTTCTCTCTCTCTCTCTCTCTCTCTTACCTTCTATTTTTCTCACTCTCTTGCTCTTTTCTCTCTCTCTAGCTGTCCTATCTTAGTTGCCTCTTCTATCCATCTCTTTTTCTCTCAGTTGAGTTTCAATTTACCTCTCTCCATCTATTCTATCTCCCTCTCTCTCTTTTCTCTCTCACCCCATTTCTTGTCTCTCCATCCATTTTCTCTCTCTCTCTCTCCCTCTTCACTGTCCATCTCAGTTTCTCTAATGTTCTTCATTTGTCTCTTCTATCCATCTCTTTCTCTTTTTCCCATGCTCAGTTAATGTTCAATCTCTCCCTCTCTCTCTCCCCCTCTCTTCTCAATGTCTCTTTCTCTCTCTGTGTGTTTTCTCTGTCTCAGTATCTCTGATGTTCTTCAGTTGGCTCTTTTGTCCATCTCTGTGTCGTTTTCTCATGCTCCCTTGACTCTTAATCTGTCTCTCTCTCTCTCTCTCTCTCTCTCTCCATTG